CAGAGGTGGCCCCTCTCCGCCGCCCCGGTTTCTCTCCGGCAGCAGGTGCCGACCGCCCCGGCCGGGCTTACAGGAACACAGCGAGCACAAGACCTGGCGTGAAGGTTAACGAACTGCAGCCCAGGAAGGGAATGACTCCCCCACCCGCATGCAGGCTGTTTACTCCAACACTGCTCCGTCTTCCCGGGTCACACAGGGAAGCGCTCCCCAAGACCCTGTGCGCTGCTGCAGGGTGCCCGTCCCACCCCAGTGCCACGGAGCCACTCACGCTCCCACCAGTGAGGGAAAGGCCCTGGGCTCCTGCACCGACAGCACTAGTGTCATCCCTTACAGAAAGCGAAGCATGCTGGCTCTAAAATGCAACTGAATCCACCAAGCAAATGCTTTTGAAAACCATTTTTATTTAAATAAGACTTTAAATACATTACATAAAACATTAAAAATGAAACCAAAGATCTGTTACTTCACAGGGCATTAGGCAGCAGTTGCTAGTAACACATAAGCTCTGTGGCTCTATCTGCAATGATACTCGTTACATTAGTCCGAAATTGATCCCTTGTCAAAAGTTTAACCCAAGGTAACGGTTCCTTTGAGCACGTCAGCCCGGCATCTGGGGCTTGGAGGGTACCAGCACCTGCCAGGCCTGAACTGCAGCCATCCAGCCTTGAAGTCACTCTTCAGTTGCTCCTCTTGTTCAAAGTCAAGCTTCCCCAAATCCCTCTGCCACCAGGAGCCAGCACTGCCTAGAGGGAAGGCACTATCTCCCCGTGCCATGTCACAGCTCACGCTCGGGGCCTCGCTCCGTGCAGGACCGCGGCAGGCACCACCACAATTACCGTCCATCGGAATGGAAGAGCAGCTGGACCGAGGAGCGATCCGGACAGTCTCTGGACTGACAGGCCGAGTCCCTTGGCTTAACTTGGAACATCTGGTTACTTTTAGCTTCAGGCTGGACCATGCCAGACGCCCGATTTACCTCTGTTAAATGAGGGACAGCAAGACGAGATAGCATGGGCTCTTGTCAGTTTATTACATCACTGAATTACACTAGTCCAGACTGAACAGTGGACCCAAGATCATTACATTACACAAACCGGCTGGTTTTAAACTTATGACAAGGGACAGATGGGAATTTCATGGTAAGGAAATCTTCTTGCATAAAGCTTCAGTGACCCACAGGCACTTAAAACCCATGGACTTTCAGCTGGTCGTCTTTAGCCAGTCCAATCTGCAAGAAAGAAAATGCACCTTACAGCACATCAAGGCAGACAGTCCTCTGCGCGCATCCAGACACCGTCTATGCTGCAGATGCTGTAGAACCGTCAAATTCCTGCTCCCCGCTAAAATATGGAATGAAGATTAGACTGCAAGTGCAAAACCCTGCTGGATGGTATTCGCCTGAAGCAAGAATTTCAAGAACAGAAAAAAGAGCTTCCTCTATCAGCCTGCTCTTTTAACACTAAGAAAATTACCACCTGCATGGTTATTAAAATAGAGACTCATTTTTAGCTTAGAATTTAGCCAGCACGTGCAGCAGACCAAAACCATCCTACCTCTACGAGGAACTGGCATATGTTCTTGCGCTGGTCACCTTGCAACTGAATCACTTCTCCATATTCCGGGTGTTCGATTACAGTACCATTGCAGGCAAACTTCTACAAAGGAGAGAAAGGCCTCCTCAGCACAACGCACATCGCCAACGCCGCAGTGCCGGCGCGGCAGGCTCCCCCGCGCCCCGCCACAGCACCCACCTTTTTGAAGGCCTTCACCAGTTTCTTTTTATCGTAATCATCCGCGATGCCCTGGACTGTGGTGAGGGTCTTCCTGCCGTTCCGCTGCTGGATCCTTATATGGATGTAGTCCTCAGTGCCGGCAGGGAGCAGGTCATCACCCTTACTTGCATCAGCAAAGGGGTCTGCGGAGAGCGCCCGTCAGACCC